TTTTTATATAGATCATACAGGATGATGTGGATCATCCAGGATGATGTGAATAAAATAGAAAAATTTCAAGATAAGAAAAGTGATGATCAAGAGTTCTTCAAGATAAAAATAAAATAAAGAAGATAATAAAACACATATGAGAACAAAGATATAAATCAAAATAAAATGATTTTTTTAATGAATTTATCAGCACTAGAAAAAGATAAATTTTCCTTGTGATTGGATAAAAATTAGTAAAAAATGAATTAACAATACTAAAATTTGAAAATGGTAGAACAACCAATCTTGTTAACCCCAACTCAGACTACTTATGGGGTAAATTTTTTTTTAAACAAAAATCTAACTCATAAAAGAAATCAGATAAGAAAAGTGATTTGTTCAAAACTTCATTTCAAAGAAGTATCTGATAGAATAATATAGTAAAGTAATTAATCGAAATCATGAGTTTTAAAAATCAAGTATTTGAAGATTTTAAGTGGCACATGAAATCTTCTAAGATTTAAAGATTTGAAAGAGAAGGAAGTTTATTTCTTTATGGGCTCATTTTATGCCTCTTGTTAGTTGTTTAGTACACTTTTCATATATTTTAATTTTTGATACACTTTGTATATCTTTTAATTATTTGGCGATCATTGTACATCTTTTCAGTTTTCTTTTGGGCTCATTTTGTGCCTCTTATAATTTTTGTGAGCTATCTCCCTTTTAAAACCTTTAAAGATTCTCAGTTGTGAGAATATCTTCTAGATATAAGAGAAGAAACTAAATCTCTAATATAGGAAAGAATAAATCACAAATCAGAATTATATTCATATGATAAATGCAACAACCTAATAAAAAAACTTGACATTGATTTAATGACTTTGAATATTGTTCATATGAGATAGATTACTATGAGAAGACAAAAAAGATTTAAATTTCAAAGTCAGACTTTAATTTGAATTAGATTTTTTCTTCAAAAGGAAAAATGCACTGCTAAATGAGTTAGAGGAAGATAAATAATCAACGATGCTTATTCCTTTAAATGATTTAGGGAGGTCAATCACTATTTATAAATTTTTAAAAACAAAAGAAAGGAAAAAATGTCATTTAAGAAATCAATATCAGTAGTGACCGTTGATATGATTCCAAAAAAAAAATTGAAGGGAAAACTAATAGAAAAATAAAAAATAGAAAATAAAAGTACATAAACAGAAATAAACATACAAATTAAAACAAAAGAAAAATTAGAAAATAGAAAGCAGCAATTTCAACCATTAATATCTGTGACACCTAATCTGGTTCTTATGATACATAAAGTTTCAAATGCCAGTGGTTTTATAAAGATATTAACAAGTTGATTTTTAGTGGCTACGTAGCATTATGTCTCCATTAGTAACATGATCCTTAATGAAGTAATGCCTTATGCCAATGCGTTTGGTTCTAGAGTGCTGGATTGGGTTCTTTGAAATATAAATGAAACTAGTATTATTATAGAGGATTGACATTGTACCTATAGGTAAACCTAAATCCAAAATTAGTTTCTTCAACTAGATAGCTTGGGCCACATAACTCCCTAAAGTAATGTACTCAGCTTTAGTAGTGGACTGCCAGCTGAGTTTAATTTTTATTAGACAAAGAGACTAATGATTGTTCTATGAATTGATAAGTTCAAGAAGTGCTTTTTCTATCAACTCGACATCCCATAAAATTTGAAATATAATATCCAATAATTTCAAAAGAGGTGCTATGCCTAGGATACCAGATTCATAAGTCAAAGGTTCCTAAGTGATACCTAAGAATTCTCTTAATAGTAGTCAAGTGGAACTTTTTTGGATCAGCTTAAAATATAGCACAAAGAAAAACACTAAACATAATATCAGGTGACACTAAGCAAGCACTCTAAAGAGAGATAGTGCCATTTTCTAGAGAGAGAAAGCAAATTTTAAATTCTTCAGTTCTGTTTTTTCTCGCCGATCTGCTGCGCCGATGATCCTCCTCCGATCATCAGAAGATGAATGATGGGTGAATTTTTACCAATTATTGCAATGGCTGGGAGGACTGATCCTCCAGATTCAAAGATTTTTGAAATAAATTCCTCGTTTGAATTCTTATCGGGCGGAAAGGAAAAAATTACTATTAAAGAAAAGCCTCTGATCATTAATGAAGGTGCCTGTCTTAATCCAAAAAAGATGGATCCAGTTATTGGAAAAGGCAAATCTGTTCTTATTGAAGATAAAGTGAAGAGCCCAAAGATTTTTAAAAATCTGAAACTCAATTCGGTGAGCCCAAATAATTCTAATTCTTCTGATTTCAAATTACATGTGAGTAGATTTTGTAATTCTACCACATACAGTCCTGTTGATCCAAATTCTAAAGGTGCGAATTCAAAAGATGGTGTTGCTTTGATTGCTATGAATCAACGAGATGCTGATAAGATGTATGCTGATGAGCCGCAACTAGTTAATAATACAACATTTCAAAATGACTTGGAGCAGGTTAGACATTGTATTTCAGGAGATTTAAACACTGAAAGTCAGATTCCAAGAAAAATTTATCCTCCTGAAACTACTGATAAGATGGGAAACTTCAAAACTAATGCTTGGGCAAGAAATGCTAATGTGAAAGTGGATAATTTGAACTTAGGTTCATTTCTGAATGAAGATGGAAAAACTGTTAAACTTCATATGGAGAATGTATTGGAGAATTCCAGAAAACTGACTAATGCTTTTGTTGTCAAAGTTTTTGGTGATAACATCCCATTCTATGTTATCAACAGTGAATTAAGAAGATAGTGGAGTTGCTTTGGTAGCTTTAGACTCACTATGCTGGGTCAAGATTGGATTTTATGCTCTTGTGAAAATGCTGAGATTATGGACTCTAACTTATGTGAAGGACCTTGGTTTGTTAAAGGTCATATTGTGGGTATTGATAAATGGACATCTTCTATCTCTACAAATTCCTTGAAAGGTCTTTCTACTCCTGTTTGGATTAGACTTCCTAATCTACCTTTATACTGCTGGGATGATATCAATATTTGCAGAATTGCATCTCTAGTTGGGAAGCCATTTCTACTTGATGGAAACATGTTCCAATGGAATCGAAGAGAATTTGCTAGAATTTGTGTTCGTATCAATTTAGACGAACAACTTCCTTTGGGAGTATGGGTAGAAGGTGAATCTACAAAATTCTATCAAAGAGTGGAATATGAAAAAGTTTCCAAACTGTGTTTCAAATGTGGCAAAATTGGACATTTAATGGTGAATTATCGTGGATCTAAATCTGCAGAGCATAAAGATAAAACAGGTTTGCCTGATTCGGTAATAACTTCTGATGTTCTAAAAGCAAATTCCTGAAGTAATAGCAAATGTTGATCCGGAAGAGCAAGGATATGGCCCTTGGATGCAAGTCAAGTATGGGAAGAAAAGAAGAATACAAAACAATGCTTTTAAGGAAAATCAAAAAACTGTTCCAGTTGCTAGACAGAAGGCTTTTAAAGAAATCTGGAAAGCTGTTCTAGTTCCAGTTGCTGTTCAAGGTGATGTTCCAGTATCTTCTCCAGATTCAATTCAGAATCAAGCTCCTAAACAAATTACCAACTTGGGATTTTCTATTGAAAAAGTGCCTCAGAAAAAAGATGACAAAACTATAAATGTGGATGATGCTTATATAGACATTAACATAAGCATGGAAGATGGTGAAATTATGGATATCTTTCCTATCAAAGATATGGTATTATCTCAAGATGTTAAAAATTCTGCTTCAAGTAAGAATTTGAATCCTTCTCAACATATTATTTTGAATAAAAATATGTTTGATATTCTAAACAAAATTGATGAAGATGCTATCAATGTTGATAATGTTATGAGTAATAACATGGATGATAATGTTATGATGTCATCTCTTAAACCTGAAGATGTGGTTTTAACTGGTGGAAAAGTTAAAGTGGATAATAGTTCGGTCAAGAGGAAATTGGGAAAAGAGCTCAAGACTCTTGGACCAATTAAACCATCGACTATAAACAGAAGATTGGAGTTGGGAATTAAAGATAAGAAGAATGGGGCTAGTCCCCCTTCTAATCAATGAATTCCATTGTCTTTTGGAATTGTAGAGGAGCAAGGAAAGGTAATGCTTTTCTATATCTCAAAGAATTTGTAAATAAAAATGATGTGGGCTTTATTGGTTTATTAGAAACCAAAGTTTCTTCTATGAATAGAAAAGATATCAATACTCTTATTGGTATGGATTGGAATTTTTTTCATTACCCTTCTGAGGGTCTATCAGGAGGGATCATAATTCTTTGGAATACAAGGTTTGCTTCTTTTAATACCTTGTTTTCTTCTTATCATTGTGTTATTGGAGATTTAAAAATCCATAATAAAGGTTGTTGGAGGATTTCGACCGTTTATGCTAACAAAGATTCCTATAAAAGGCGGGACCTTTGGAATCAATTGGAGAATTATATGATTCTTGACAGACCTTCTATGGTGGGAGGTGATTTTAATTGCCTTTTAACCAAAGGTGATAAGAAAGGAGGTAGAAAATTTGAATTCTCTCAAGGCTCTAAGGAAATGAAATGGTTCTTTGCTAATCATGATTATCATGATTTGAATTTTATTGGACCAAGATATACATGGTGTAATAATAAATCAGGTGGAGCTCGGATTCTAGAGAGATTAGATAGATGCTTTTCTAACTCTTCTGCTCTTGATTCTAATTCGTTATTGGTGATTCACCATCTTCCTCGTATAGCTTTAGATCACTATCCCATTATGTTGAAATTATGGGAAGATCAACCTAAGCCAAATGGCTACATCAAGTTTGAAGATACTTGGGCTTCTCACTTTGCTTCAGTGGGTATTGTTCAAAAAGCATGGAACATGAAAATTACAAATCTTCACTCTGATAGACTTCAGATTAAATTTAACAGAGCTTTGAAAGCTCTCTTCTATTGGAGCAAATCAAAACTGAAGAATCTAAATCTTTTGTAAGATGATCTTATCAAAGATATTCTGGATCTACAAATGGAAGAGTCATCCGTTGGTAACTTATCTGAAGAAAAAATTTTGATCCTTAAAGCCAAAGTCAATGAACTTCAATGTACCTTAGCCCGATTAAACTCTTGGTGGAAACAAAGAGCAAAAGCAAAGTGGTTAAAAGATGGAGATTTGAATACAAGGTTCTTTCATTCTTTTGCGAATGCGAGAAAGAATGCAAATTACATATTCAACATTAAATATGAGAATGGAAATTTGGTGAATGATCAAATTAAAATTGAAGTGGTTTTCTTCAATTTTTTCAAATCCAAGTGGGATTACAGGAGTTGTTCTTTAAATAACAGGCCATGCCCGAGAGCTGTTTTATCAGATTTGGATAGAGCATTGCTTAATTCGGAGCTTAATCTGAAGGAAGTTTCTGATTTTGTTACCCTTTTGGAAGGAGTTTTACCTGGTATTGATGGAATAACACATTCTTTTATCAAAACTTATTGGCAAATCGTTAAAACAGAGATCTGGGAAGCTTTAAAGCAGTTTTTTCATACGGGTATTATGGAATCTAATTGGAAGGATACTTTGATTGTGCTCATTTCAAAGGTGGAAATGCCTATGACACCTTCTAATTTTAGGCCTATAAGCTTATGTAAAACAATTTATAAGCTTGTGGCTAAAATTCTTCTTAATAGAATGGTTAATCTTCTTCCAAAAGTAATTTCGGAAAACCAATCAGCTTTTATTAAAGGCAGATCTCTTACATACAATGTGTTAATTGCTCAAGAAATATTCCACAAATTCAGGTTTTCTAAATCTTTAAAAGGATTGGTTTCCTTTAAAATAGACATGGAGCAAGCTTATGATAGCATGTCTTGGGAAACTTTGGAGCAAATATTGAGTTATTTTGGCTTTCCGTTGCACTTCTCAAAGCTTATTCTGGAATGTGTACGTGATCCAAGATTTTCTATTTTGATCAATGGCAAATCTACTAATTGGATCAATGCTCATAGTGGATTTCAACAAGGTTGTCCCCTATCTCCTTTTCTATTTGTTTTATGTTCATAGCTTTTATCTAATGCTTTGATGCAAGAAGAGATGGAAATAGGAATCAAGGTTCATCATAATGCTCCTAGGATATCACATCTGCTTTATGTAGATGATATCTTGATCTTTTCTGAAGCAAATTTTAAAATGATAAAGAGGATTAAAAGCATTTTACAAGACTATTGTAATTGGTCAGGTCAAAAGATCAATTACAATAAGTCTTCTATTCTTTGTGGAAAAGCTGTTAGTAGAAGGAAAAAGAGAAAAATAGCTCGGGTAATGGGATTCAAGCTTGTAAAGGAATTCTATTACTTAGGAGTTAAAATTGCTCTTAGGAGATTGATGGCATCAGATTTCAGTTTTTTATTGGAAAAAGTTCTTGGAAAGCTTGATACTTGGGGAACCAAGTTTATATCTCTTGCTAGAAGAATGACTCTTGCTAGAATGATAATCCTTTCAATACCAGTTTTTTATTGCATGCATTCTCTGGTTCCGAATGGTATACTGGTAGAATTAGAAATTTTATTTGGCACAAGGAGGAAAATGAGGCCGGATTACATTATGTCAGCTGGGAAACTCTTTGCAAACCGATGAATTTAGGTGGACGTGGTCTCAAATCTTGTACACAAATAATTGATTCTTTAAGAGCCAAGATTACATGGAAATATGTAAATGATGAAGACTCTCTTTTGCATAAATGCTTGAAGCCTAAATATGGGAATTCTGGTTGGATTCCGGAGTGGAAGCATAGTTTATCTTCAACCTGTAAAATCTTAAGAAGTGGTGCTAAAGCTCTCAAATTGATTATTAGATGGAATATCTGTAATGGTGAAAAAATTAATGTTTTGGAGGATGTGTGGATTTTTGATAAAGCTCTATGTAAATGGCCAACGTTCCTTGATAATCTACATATTAATGACTTATGTGTAGACCAGTTCATTGAAAATGGCACATGGAATATTGCCAAATTACAGAATGTCTTTGATAATAATTTGCTTCAAATTATATGCAACGTGAAGATTGATCAGGGGGCTGGAATTGATCAAATGGAGCTAATTTCTTATAATTCTGGAAAAACATTGGCTGCATTGTCTGATGAAGCATTGTCAACTGATTCTATCAAAGGAAGATATTGGTCTTGGATGAAGAAGATTAAACTAAATCCAAGAACAAAAATTTTTTGGTGGAGGATATACCAAAAAGCTATTCCAAATTTTCATTTCCTCGAGTATCGAGGGATCAAGGAAGGATGCCTTTGTCCAAGAGGTTGCTTGGATATTGAAGATATCAAGCATGTGGTGGTGAGTTGTGATAAAATCATTCAAACTAAAAAAGTTCTCAATCTTTGGGGATTTCATATTCCGGAATTTAACAGTTTTGCTAAAACAATGGATTGGTTGGAGTTAAATGCTTTCAAAAAACATTTATCACAAATGTGTTTTGCAATTTAGTATTTCTTTGTTGGAAGTCTAGAAATAAACTTATTCATGAAGGAATTGAGGATTCCAATTTGAGCATTGCTTCTAATGCTCTTAATATGACATCTATTTCTATTTATAATAGAAATAAATTGGGCCTTTGGGATGTTAATCAACTATCTCAGTTGTTTAAAAATTCTTGGCATCCTCCTCCACCCGATTGGATCAAAATTAATGTGGACAATTCATTGTTATCTAATTATAATGCCGGAATTGGAGCTGTTGGCCGTGATCATCTTGGAAGATTTATTTTTGCTAAAGGAATCAAATGTACTCATTGGGACATTGCTCTTCTTGAACTAGAGGGTATTTTATCTCTTCATGGAATTATCAAGGATTGGAATTCTCAAGTTCAAGGAATTGTCATTGAAGGAGATAATGATAATGTAATGAAAAGTTTTTAAAACATTATCAAAATAAAGCATAAAACGGAAATTGAAGTAAGGTTCTCCTCCTTTATTAAAGAGTTTAATTTTGTTATTTCCAAACATGTTAGTAGAGAATGCAATAAGTTAGCAGATATGTGTGCTAACTATGCTCATAATAGTGAATTTGCTTGGGATTCTTTTAGTATGGAACACATTCCTCCTCCTTTTCTACTTTTATTAAAGGAGGAATGTGATGCTATTAGCTTGTATTAGCTTAATTTCTTTTTAATGCAATTGCTCTATGCATTTAAAAAAAAAAACATAATATCAGGTCTACTAGAAGTCAAGTAAAGAAGCAATTTAATTATTCATATATATTTCTTTTGATTTGTAGATTTTCCATTTGAATCCTTATCTAATTGAACAATGAAACTCATGGGATGTTCATTAGTTTAGCTTTATTTATTTCATATTTTTTAAGTATGTCTTTAATATATTTTAATTAACAAGAAAAGTCTCATCATCCTTCTGACTTATACTAAACCTCAAAAAGTATGTCATTTCTCCCATCATACTTATTTCAAATTCCTTACTCATTATTTTTGAGAATTCTTCACATAGATTTTTATCATAAGATCCAAATAGAATATCATCAATATAAATTTGAACAATCAATAATTCATCTCCTGCCTTTTTTTAGAAATAGGGTGGTGTCTAGGCTTCCCTTAACAAAAGATCTTTCTAGTAGGAATGTGCTTAGCCTTTCGTACTATACCCTAAGTGCTTGTTTAAGTTTATAAAATGTCATATTTAATTTGAACACATGATTGGAAAATTGTCAATTTTCAAAGCCTGGGGGTTGTTCAATGTACACATCTTCCTTTATCACCCCATTTAGAAAGGCACTCTTAACATACATTTGATACCATTTGAATCCCTTAAAATAAGCAAATGCTAGTATCACTTTAATAGCTTCCAATTTAGCTATAGGGGTAAAAGTATCTTCAAAATTAAACCCTTCTATTTGATTATGCCCCATAGTCACCAATCTTATCTTATTCCTCTTAAATACACTAGAATCATTCATTTTATTTTAAAAACCCATTTTGCCCCAACCATACTCTGGTCCTTAGGTCATCCAACAAGCTCCTAAATATTATTCCTTACAAATTAATTAAGTTCTTCTTGCATGAAAAATATTCAGAACCAATCAGATATGGCTTCATTTAGGTTGGTGGGTTTAGTCATTGAAATGAAGACAGCGTGATTTACCTTTTTCCAAGTCCATGCCAAGTTTAACACCTTAAGATGGGTCTCCAAAGATCAATTCTTTTGGACGACTCAAAGAATATCTCCATTCTCTTGGCATAGTGCTTTTAAAATATATTATTTCCTCTAGTTTTATAAATTCCAATCCTTGGGTGACTTCTAAAACCTCATCTTATTCTACCCTACACCCTCAAGAATTATTAGATTCATCAAACACAATATTAGTGGTCTCCTCAACTACCAGTGCTCTTTTATTGAGGACTCTATGGGATTTCCCAACACTTGTGTAACTAAGAAACACTCCATCAAATTTTGGATCCAACTTTCCTAGTTGAGACTTCCCATTATTCAAAATGAACACTTTATTTCCAAAGACATGGTGGTGAGAGAGGTTGGGTGTCCTACCTTTCATAATTTCATAAGGTGTCTTAAACAGTTTGGATCTAACATTCACCATATTCTGAACATAACATACTATGTTCATCACTTCTAACCAAAAGTATTTTGGAAGTGAGTGTTTAGTTAACATGACTATAGTAGCTTCTACTAGGGTCATGTTCTTCCTTTCAGCTACCTTGTTTTACTAAAGGGTCCTAAGAGCTGAAAAGTTGTGGTCTATCTCTTACTCTTTATAAAAAGATTCAAAATTTTCATTCTAAAATTCTCCACCGTGATCACTATAAATGGTTAAAATCTGACAACCTAGCATCCTCAGAATCCAAGTGGAGGAAAACATAAAATCATTAAATGATTCACTTTTATGAGATACAAATCTAACACAAGTAAACCTTGAATAATCATAAATAATCTTATACCCAAAGACTTATTCTCCTAAGCTTAGAGTGCTGAAATGTCCAAAGAGATCCATGTGTAGGACTTATAAAGGTTTTCTAGTGGAAATGTCTTTAATTGAGGAGAAAGAGGATCTAAGTTGCTTTTAGCTGACAGGTTTCACTCCGATGATTCTTATTGAACTCTAATTTGGGTGTCCCTCTCATTGAGTTTTTCTGGGTGATCTTTCTAAGGTATTTCATGCTAGCATGACACAACCTTCTATGCCGCAACCAAGATTCCTCAGAAATAATTCTTAAGCAAATAGTAGTGTTGGATTTAATGCAATTTAAATTAAGCATATAGATATTGTTCATCCTTTTTTCTTGCAAAATAATGTTGTTATTCAAGCTTATTATTCATATGATATATAGAAATTTTATGCTAAAGCCTTTATTATATAACTGGATAATGCTGAGTAAGTTATGTTTCAAGCCATCAACTAGTAAAATATTATCAATGATGAAATTTTTAGAGTTCCCAATTATACCAGATCCCGCCACTCTCCTAGTGATGTTATCTTCTAGTGTTATCTTTCCTCCTACACAGTCCTCTAGTGAAATGAATTGATTTACATCTCCATTCATATATTGTGAACATCTACTATTCAAGCACCACATGCTCTCATGAGGATTTCTATGAGAGCAAACTTATAAAATTATCATATGTTATATTTGGGAACCCAAACAAGTTTGGGTCCCATTTTATGAAAAGATAAATAAAATGCATGTATGCTATACTGTGAGTTTTGAAGTTTTGGTCTCCACACAAATTGTGTTATACGGTAAAAGGTACAAGTGTGGGAGATGTGCCCTAGCATGCCACAAGAAAAACATGTAGCACTAGGAAATATATTTACTAATCTACTCGGGTTATGGAGCCTCTTCTTAGGTTTGAATGATGCATCCTGATCAGATAGATTATAAAACTCATGCATTATGGGTTATTTTTTATTTTGTTTAAAAGTAGTTAATTTATCTTCTAAAAACTTATTTATATTTTTAAGAATTGACTTTTCTATTTTTAAAGCATGCTCCCAACAATCTAAATCAATTGCAAGAGTATCTAAGTCCTTATATGCACTTTCTAGTTGAACTTGCAAAATTTTTAAGTAATCATGCTCATTTATTAAATCAAGATGCTTTTATTCTTTTTTTTTTAAGAAAAGCAATAAAAACTTTACAAAACAAAAATGGATTACAACCTAATATTAACGTATTCCTCCTTTAACACTTTAGTACGTAATAGTGTGAGGAATCTTATTCAATACTAAATCCTCCCAGATAAAAGAACTAAAACAAGCATAGTTAGCACATAAGTCTGCTAACTTATTACTATTTCTACCAACACAATTAAAAATGACGAAATTGAAATATTTTAAAAAAGAAAGGTCACCCACCTCATTTCTACCTTTCTTCAAAATGCTATTAATAAAATTAATAACATTTTGATTATCACCTTCAATGATCATACCTTTGTAAGCATACATCCAATCCCTAGTGACTTCTTTGATGGAAAGAATAGATAGAAGCTCCAAGTAAGAGATATCCCAATGTGTTAGCTTTTTTCCAAAAGCCATTAAAAATCTTCCTCTATGGTCCCGAAAAACTCCAGCAATTCCCACCTTGTATGAAGAAAAAAGAGAAGCATCAACATTGACTTTTATCCATTTAGGTGGAGGGGGGGTGCCAAAATTCATTAAACAACCCAACCGGTTGGTTGACATCCCTGATACCCAAGCAACTTATATTAACATTTCTTGACAATGAGGCATAGCTAACTGCATTAGTAACTAACAACCAAGAGCTTTAACGTTTGCCTTCATGCAAAAGTCCATTCCTAGCTCTCCAAGAAAGATAAACCAAATTAAAATAAAGATTTATCAACCAAATGTCTTTGCTTTGAAGCCACTTGAAACAATTTTCAAGAGAAATGAAATTTGGGATATCAAAACCCCACTTCTTCAAAATCTGGATTGCTTCATTTAACTTGTCACATTTCGAAATAATGAGACAAGTGTCTTCCACTTGTTCACAACCACGAGGGCACTTTTCATAATCTATCAGCCTTCTATTACAGAGGAATTGATTAGTTGGTATGGCTTTATGAATGATTCTCCACCAAAAGTTCTCCACTTTAGCACTAAACTTAATTTGTTGAGCCATTTCCATATAGAAGAATCTTCAGGGTTATCTTTAGAATTTTCCATTGCTAAAGCTGTAATTGTTTTTCTTGTAGCAAATTGTATCAATTCCGGCTTATCCTCACCTGGTTCAATCGAAATCTGGACCTCTTTTATCAAATTAACAAGCTCCGAGCCACACAATTCTTCTAACTTTGCAATGTCCCATCTTCCATTGGTAATTAGGTTATCAACCGTGAAATCATAGTCTTCCTTAGCTTGAACAAACGTTGGCCAACTTTCCAAAGTCTTATTCAAAATCCAGTTATCTTTAAACACATTCACGGAACTACCATTGACAATCTTCCACCTAGTGATAGGTTTAAGGAGTTTTTTCCTCTGTTTTAAGTAGTTTCCAAGCAATTGATCTAGAATTAATAGCAGAATTATTGGACATAACATTACCATACTTTGGAACAAGGAACTTATGCACTAATGCATCCTTATTCTGAAAATACTTCCAAGCTAGTTTAGCTTTAAGAGGCCATGCTTTCTTTGCACAAGGCATCAATCCTCTACCTCCCTGAGATCTTGGCCCGCATAAGTTTTCCCAATTAACATAGTGGATGCCTCTTCTCCCCTCACTCTCACTCCAAATAAAATCCCTACAATGTTTATCAATTTCATACAATATACTTTTGGGAACCAATGAAAGGGAAGAGTGAAAAGTACGGAATGAAAGCAAAACAATCTTGACAAGTGTCAACCGACCGGCCAAGGAAATGAATTTTCCTCCCCATATGTTTAACATGCT